AAGCTTCTCTTCTGGAGGGTTAACAACCTAAATTTGCAGACCAAAAATTAGAGAAAAAGGAGGGCTACAAGGACAGCCAACATTTTAGCCCTAGCCTTTCTTTTCTTTTCTTTTTTTTTTTTGACAGAACCAGTGATTGAACTCAGGCCCTTGTGCTTGCCAGGGAAGCACTTATTCCACTGAGCCATCTCCCTGGCCTCTGGTCCTACCCTTTCCAGGTCAGTGAAGACTCAAGACATAAGAGAACCTATTCTATAACATCATGTAACTCAGTTGTGCCCCAAATTTTCTTATCAATGAGATTATGGGGCCACAGAGGAAAGTGAACAATGATGTAGAGTGTGCCTAAGGAGAGTCACATGGAAAGAAAACATTCTCTCAGCCTTTCACAGAGAACAAATTGGTCAAGCAATGGCCATGACTCATCCATATGGCTGACACTGACAAAGGATCTACAAACTGTTGGTACAGGGTTTCAGGATAAGTCCGGAGGGCATTTGACTGACCTTATCAGATACAAAAGCTGCATTTCTTGTTATATAGGTCTTGCTTTATCTTGGTCTTAACCATCAAGCAGAAATGTAAAAAAATGAAGTATAAAAAGTGAAGCCATATTAATATACTGTGCTATAAAAGGCTCAAGGCAACAACTTCTGACATTGCCAGTCTTATGGAAAACCCACTACTATTATGGACTACTGGACTATTTTGGAATATTTTGCTGAATTCACACACCTATAATATTTAAATGACAAAACTAAACAATAAAAGGGAATACAAATGACCAACCGTTTTGTATCTATATATTCAAAATAGTTAGGATAGATATACAGCTACATTCTCTTAATTCAATGAATAGAAAGATTTGTTCTAATAGTGTTTTAAATAAGATATCATGTCTGCATCTTGTACAATGAATAACCACTAAGACAACAATATGCAATGTATTATTTATTGAAACTGTCCTACTAATCGGATTTGAAACTGTCTCATTGTTATTTGGTTCTCAATAAAATTATGGGAAAAAAAGCATAGGAATTTTGATGAGTAACTACTTCTGCAGGAAGATAGAAAGGATCCAAACAACATATCTAGGGGCTAGCAAGAGTTTGAAGCCACCAAGAGCATAACTGCAATTACCCTGAAAGAGTGAGAGGAAGGATGGGATCGTTGTGCCCTTTCTGCACATTAACTTACTGTAATATTTTTGTAGCTTCCCTGTGGAACACAGTTAAAGTATGCTTGTATTGCTTTTACCTATGCACACAGGTATAATTTTCTTCTGGTAGTGAGACATGGTAAATATTGTACTTTATGTAATATTTTCTTTGATTATTTATTTATTTATTTATTTTTTGCGGAACCGGGGATTGAACTCAGACCCTTGCGCTTGCTAGGGAAGCGATTATTCCACTGAGCCATCTCCCCAGCCCCATTTTTTTGATTATTGATAGAAATTCTGGAGAATACAGAAAATATAAAAAATAACAGCAAAGGGAAAAAAGGAATCATTTTGAAAATCTCATGACCTGAGCCTACTATACTTTGGTATATTACCTCACCAGTCTTTTTCTTTTAGCAAGAAGTCTACACAGATTTTCGCTGCTACAGGCAATGACAGAATAAGAGAACAAGGGAAAGGGTGAAGAGGAGGGGCAGGGAAATGAGAGGACTAACAATGTGCCTCTTACAGGATCCTAGTATCTCCAATCAATGTAAACATTGTATGTCATAGCATGTGCTGAGACCAATAATACCGAACAGTACAAAAATGCTGAGGGGAACCAGAGGAAGAAAGGAAAAAAAGGGGCAAAGGGGAGGAGAGAAGGGGAAAGGAATTAGAAAAAAACCAAGGTGTGATATGTACACGTAACCACTTGCCAGGATGACTATAAACTGTGTGAATTGCAAACATGCACTAATTAAATTAAATTAAAAAGAATAAATGGTGGGGCTGGTGAGATGGCTCAGTGGTCTAAAGCACCTACTTGGAACAAGCTTGGCAAAGCACAGAGACCGCAGTTCGATCCCCCAGCACCACATGCCAGCCAGCCCCGCCCCCAGGTGGGCTGAGCTGGCCACACACACACACACACACACACACAATAAATAAATGTTTAAGAAAAAATGAATTATTAAAAAAAAGAATAAATGGTACCTGTTATGGTTTGTGTCTAGTTGTCCCCCCAAAGCCTCATGTAAGTCATGGATGGGGCAGAGGCAGCTGGAGGAGCAGCCAGTGGCTTGAGGGGCGGGATGAGAGGACCAGGGCGGTGCTTGAGGAGCGGGGTCAGAGAGGCGCGAACCATTAAACTGGCAGCATGCGCTCCGCCTCCCCCCCCACACACAC